GATGGAAAATAATATTCTTCTCCACTTCGACTTCATCTTTGGGTTCATTAATTGTTGCATTAATCGTCGAACTATTGTCAAAAATCTTTTCTTCACTTGTTGGATTTAATTTCCCCGAAATTCTTTTTCTTGAGACATTTCTATTACGAAGTGAAATGCGATTCGTTGTGCTTGGAATATCAGATGCTGTGGTCACTTCAACTTCATCTTGGGATTCAACAATTTTAGGATCAAAACCTTGATTAGTATTTAAAATATTTTCTTCAGATGTTGGATGTAATTTCACCGAAACTCGATTTCTTCCTACTATGCGATCACGCAATGAATTTCGATTTGTACTGCTTGGAATATCAGAAGCAGTCGTCACCTCGACTTCATCTTTGGGTTCATTAATTGTTGCTTTAATCGTCGAACTATTGTCAAAAATCTTTTCTTCACTTGTTGGATTTAATTTCATCGAAACTCGTTTTTTTGAAACTTTTCGATTACGAAGTGAAACGCGATTTGTTGTGCTTGGAATATCAGAAGCTGTGGTCATTTCGACTTCATCTTGGGATTCAACACTTTTAGGATCAAAATCTTGATTAGTATTTAAAATATTTTCTCCAGATGTTGGATGTAATTTCACCGAAATTCGTTTTTTTGAAACTTTTCGATCACGAAGTGAAACGCGATTGGTTGTGCTTGGAACATCAGAAGCTGTCGAAACTTCCACGTCATTTTGATATTCAACACTTTTAGGATCAAAACCTTGTTTAGTGTTTAAAATCTTTTCTTCAGATTCTAAATGCAATTTGACCGCAACTCGATTTCTCACTATTTTACGACCACGCAATGAAACACGATTAGTTGTACTTTGAGCATCGGAAGCTGTCGTCACTTCTACTTCTTCTTTGGGTTCATCATTTGTTGTTTCAAGACCTTGATTATTATTTAAAATTTTCTCTTCAGATGATGTTTGTAATCTGGTCGAAATTCGATTTCTTCCTACTTTGCGATCACGCAAAGTAACGCGATTTGTTGTACGTGGAATATCCGAAACTGTCGTCACTTCTACTTGCTCAATAATCTTCTCTTCTTCGTGAGATTCAGCAGAGGCTGAGTCAGGAATTTGAATATTTTCATCAATTAATGGCGGTAGCATTTCTGTTGCTAGGGTGCCAAAATTGTTCGCAATTTCTTCTGATTTTTCAGTGTTTCTATTGGTATATGAAAATTGCTTCTCAGAACTTTCTGATTGAATAACATTTTCATCTTTTTTTCCGTCGTTACTTAGCAGTAACTTTTTTCGAATGACTTTACGTACTCTCTGATCTGTCGTTGTTGGTTCAGTGTTCACATCGTTAACAGTTGTGACTTTCGGTGTTGTCGTCGTTTTGGCAGTCGTTGTCGTTGTGACAGTTGTTGCTGTTGATGTCGATGTTGCTGTTGAAGTAGTTTCAATGTTTTCTTCATCTTTCTGCTCGTGCACTTCCTTCAAGAGGATGTCCGAATCTTCGCAAATAAATCTTGCTCGATGATAACATGCTTAACGAAATGAAGACAGTTAGTATTAAGTAATTCAGAAAAATGTTTAGTCATCAAATCCACTCACCAATGTCGTGCTAAAATAAATGACAAATAATTAATTAATTCGTAATTTTCTCGAAAGCTTCATTAACTTACCCAAGCGACAGAATCGTTGTACATATTGTTCAGAATACCCAAGCACGATTCCGATGTTTGAGTCAAGTAGAATTCTTACATAAATATCATCAATTTTCATTTCTCAGATTTCTTCAATTAAATAAGATTTCATTTCTCGTCACTCACCTGCATTATCTGGTTGAGGTCTCTTCTTTATTCCCGTGAAAGACCAAGGTTGGTAATCCCATCCTTAAGTAAATGAAATGAAATGAAACAAAATCCGTTGATTACGCTTAATGATGAAAAAAGAGAATGAAACAAACCCGGTGGAATTTTATTTGTCGGTGCTATTGCTTCCAAAATTCCTGACCATAGCCAACCTTTTATACGCTTTGGCAATAAATCCCAGCGACCTTCACACCCAGCAAAATCACACAATCGACCCGAAGTCCAAATGAAACTTATGTTGTTTTTCTCTATGTACGACTTGAAGAAGTCAAACTTTTCCTGATTCTCAAAGGAAACTGTTTCCATACAACGATCACGACAGGCATTTCGAGCATCCAGCCAGTCATATTTTTTATCTTTAAGTTCCGGGTCATGACCGCTATAAAAGAAATTCCGCCCTTTAAATTGAAATTCTTTGGTTCGTGAATTGCACTTGTCTAGCTTTGGTAGACTCAAATAACGGTCTTTAGATTCACTTTCACTTTCTGAAGCTCCATTCGCGAATGCACACGAGATGAAAAGTAAAATCAAATTCTAGAACGTCAAATTATTCACAGTATGCTAATTAGGAACGAAGATTTTGCATAAATATTTCTATCTACCTGTACGAGCTTCATCGTGAACAATGCTTCCGTGGCAAAATCTAAACAACGAATGTGACTGCTGCCTAATTTTAAGAAATCTCATCTCCTATGGTTACGCATTGAGAAACCAGATTGGCAAGATGACGCTGTCGTAATATTTATTGACCCTGAGTCTAATGAATAATGAGAGGCGAGTATGATGAGGCGGTGATATTTGGAGACAAGAGAGGTTTTTATTATAACTTTTTGAAGGCAATGGATCGCTTGTTTTTAGACATAAACAATTGCTCTTTATGTCTTCTTATTACATTTGCTTTAAAAGTTTACTAATTCAGTTTTTATGCTCGACAACAAAAAAATAAAAACTCGTAGACGAAGTTTTTGCTGCATTGTTATTTTGACCAACAGGCATTTGACTTATGACATTATCTGCTTTCGACATCTATTATGTTAGTCTTCTTTTTTTATTTGCATCTTCCGTCTACGATGGCTATTTGAAAATTTCTCTCGACAGCTCTGCGTTTTAAAGTCGAAGTTGAGAACATTGGAAAGCACTTTGAAAGTTTTGTAAGTGACTCATTCAAGATAAAAGGAAAAATTATAAAGTTTCAGAGTTAAGTTCGTCTTTATTCGAGTTAATCATCAAAGTGAAACTTAATTCAAGTTAATCTAGGTGTTTGAACTGTTGTTACTATTCATAATATTTTCCTTTAAAATGGAATGAAAAACGATAACAGAACCTGTGCAAATGGAATTTAAATTGAAATTTCCATAATATAAAAGCCAGAGATGGGCAAATGTTCCGTTCAACTCGATTGACTGACTGACTGACATGTCAATGTCTGTCAGTCTGTCAGTCAGTCAGTCAAAATCGCGAACAAAAATATTCGTTTGTTGGGAAACGTTCATATAAATGTTCCGCTCAAGTCGTTTGACTGACAGACTGACAAGTCAATGTCTGTCAGTCAGTCAGTCAAATCCCAACTCTGATAAAAGCTTCAGTTGATTCAAGTTATCTTTGTTCATTGTCTGTTAACCTTTATTCTTCAAGATAAAGTGGAAGACTATTTTTAAATTAAAATCCAACATTCTCTAATGAAAATCTGAAAATTAAAAGGATGCTGCAACGGGTAGAAATTTTTAGGAATAAAATTCCAATTTGCGACTTGAACCAAACCTTGGAAACAAATTTCTTATTTATTTGGAATGAGTCATCGAAACTTACGACATCCAATACAGTGTCAATAAGCCATCAGAGAATAAACAAATTTGCTGACACAAAATTAAATATTCAAAAACAAAGTTCGAATGAATCTAAATCTCTATTAAAACGAAAAGTTTCTTTAAAAATAAAAATCTCGTAATGTTCGGTCATGCTTTTGGATGCTGAGGATTCAAAGGAGAAACTTTGAAGATATTATCTACAAGTTTGTTGGTTGTTTCACAATCTACAATCGAGTTTTGATACTGTTTTCATCTCTTTTTTATTATTATTCAGTAGATAGTTTAAGAAAATATTTTCAAAATGCATAATTTATGTGAAAAAAAAACTTCATGCAAGAAAGATTTACATCAAGAATATGAAAGCTGATGTTTCCCTTATTTTTTATCTCTAACTGCCACCTGTTTGTTCTACTTTTAAACTTTAATGCTTTCATAACAATTCAATTGCCACAAGCTGAAAATCCTCTAGAGAACATTTCAAGATGCTTAACTAAAATTTAATGTCGTTTAGAGTTTCTCGAAATTTCGAATTTTCAGATGAAACATCAAGTCAGAAGGAAAAACATTTCTTAAGAAACTCTAATACTGATGTTCTGAATTGAAGTTCAAGTGGATTTTCATAACTTACGTATGATTATAATTTATTTATTATTTATAGCAACCTCAGACTGGTGTAGCAAACCAGAAGAATTTTGTAAAATTTATTACAAAAGCAGAACTGACAAATGATCTGAGAAAAATGCATAAATTATAAATTATTAATGAATTTTAAATCTTCATTTCAGAATATTAGATAGCAAAAATTTTTGGTATGTTTCTAGAAATTTAATTTTGTGGCTGGTGAAGCATTTCATGGAAATGGTAAAACAAGAGAGATGTGTTTATTCTCGATCTTATTTCAGCAAACTTTTCTAAGTGATCTGAAACTTTAACAACCATTTTGCTGTGGAAATAGTTTAAAGGATTCTATTAAATTTCTATTCTCGAATGCCTTGCAAGTTTGTGTTTGAGTTTCAATCTCATCAAATACAAATATGTATCCCGGGATAAATTTCGTGTTGAGATTAAGACTTGTTTGCCATGAACTATTTGTTTGTCTTATTGAGCACAGAATGTCAAATAAGAATGACGAATGAGAATGAACTGTAGCATTAGTTTAGATAAACATTGAGTAAAGTATTTAACAACAGCGAATTTGAAATTAGTTTTGAAATGTAAAATGAACATCTCACATATCTGTTTCATGTAATGTAAATACTTAATATGATGGCACAAAGTATCATATTTAGTTTGTAATCATACAAATATTATTAAGCTTGTAATATCAACACAAGAGTCAAGAGACTCGGATTTAGTTAAGATTTCGAGATGGTGAGAACTTTTCCAAGAACTTACTATTATATTAAGAATTTGAATTTTTTACGGAGGCCCCACCCTAGGGTGACGGGCAACCGTATTGGATTTACGCAAAAATTTCAAAAAATTTTCTTTGCTTAGTTACACTTAAAATGGCTTGAAACGTCGAGAAAAGTGGAAAAAAACAAAAAAAAATTTGTGTCCGCTTTCGGGTCTGTGGGGATGGATGGATGGATGGATGGATGTAGACACTCCCATTTCCACATTTCTTAACCGATTTGAAAAATTTCTTTACCAAAGTGTTTTAAATACAAATAGAAAGTTTCTATCAAATTATGGGGTGTGTACCTTTATTACTTCGGGTACCTGCCATACAAAGTTGCCCTTTTCCTA